GTGCGAGTGTCCCGCTTCGGGGCGCGCCGCGGGGACGCTGGTGGCTCCCTGCCGGGGGGGCCGGGCCGGCCGGAAGGCGGCGCCGGGCGGGGCCGCCGAAGGTCCCCGGGGAGCCCGCTCTGGTTTCCCTGCTGCCTTCCCTGGCCCCCACCGCAGGGCTGGCGTCCGGGAGGGAGCGGGCGGGCCGGCGAGGGCCACTCAGAGTTTCCAGCGACAGAGTTTCCAGAGTGTGGGAAGCGCGCGGCGGAGCCAGGACCGAGGGCAGAAGCGATGACCGCGAGCGAGCCGGGAGCGCCCGGGCCGGGTGGAGCCAGCCGCTGATATACAGCCGGCAGCCTCGGAGAGGCGGGGGAAGCGCCGAGATAAGACGCGCCCTGGCGGACCGAGGGGTGGCCCGTCCGCCCCCATGCGCGAAGGGAGAGAGCTCGTGCGGGCGTCAGCGCGCCGCCGGGCTTGTGCAAACACACGCGCGCGCGTGCACCGTCGGAGTGCGGATGCTCACACACGTGCGAGCACGGGGAGGAAATCGACCTGAGGGAGAGGCCCCCTGGGCGTGCCGCGCCGCGAAGGAGGATGAGGGTGGGGTCCCCTTGGCGGGAACGGGGTTAGGAGGGTCTTGGTGTTCCCATACACCGTATTTGCTTTGATCCTCCTGCTTTTCCGCTGTTCCCGCTGCTGTGGCAGGGGTCCCGAGAGCCCCCGCCCACTGCCTGCCATTGGCTCTGGACATCCTTCCCTCCTCTCCCCAAGCGTCTGCGTCAGCACCGGGCGTCACAGAAAGTGAGGGTGCTTGATACATGTTGACTCATAGTCGAAACAGACTCTGGAGAACTTCCAGCCCTTGACGGCTCTGGGATCCCCAAGCCCCAAACGAACCAACCAGGAAATAGTTACTGATCAACTCCAGATATTGTTGGAAGTGATCAGTTATAAATTATGAAACTATGACCACACTTATTGCATCCCTGCTGGGTGTCAGACTGGTGCCCGAGGCCACCACGCCCTTCCGTGTTTTCCAAGCGCACCACTCACTCAAAAGGTGAGAAGAAGGGGGTGGGGAAAAGAAGAGGCAACTTTCAGTCCCTGCCACCATCACTGCCCTTAGCCTATCCTTTCTCTCAGTTAGAGAAAAAGAGCTTTCCCAGTTGTGTTGAAACTGTGTCACATATGAAAGCTGGAAGAGGAGATGTTTAGGCTGAGGAGAACCTTCCAGTGCCTGCGGGGCTGCACGGGCAGAAGTGGGACCTCTGGGTGTGCATTAAAGGGAAGCAGGTCCAAGGCTTCCAGCCATGAACTTTTAAAGGATTACAGGTGGGCCGGCCCGTGGCTCACTCGGGAGAGTGTGGTGCTGATAACACCAAGGCCCCGG